GGGTACTCTTGGTATAGTCCGGGAGCTTCCTGTAGGCAGGGATCCTGTCTTCCTGGGTGGATGTGACTTCCAGCTCCTAGCACCATGTCTGACAAAGGGAGTGCTCAGTACGTAGCTGTGGTTAATTGCTCCCTATTCCAGCCTACCTTTACTGAGCATCTGTTGAGTTCTCAGGTGCCGTGCAGGGCTTCGGGAGTCTGGCCCCAGAGGGGCTGTAGTCAGTGTAGCTTGCAGAGCTGTAAAGCAGGGCTCCGTGACACCATGCAGGGCAAGGTGCCTGGCCACGGGGGGCTCACTCTATGGAGACCCCCTTGTCATCTCCTGGATAGGCCCATAGTGCAGGGGATAGTCCGACCCTCATTAGTGAGCAGACTCCCCCTGAGCCTAACTGGCGGCCATCGCTACAATAGTAGCTGGCCAGGGCTGTTACCGAGGCTGATGCTGATGCTCTCTGCGTGAGTCGTGAGCCCACCGTGGGCAGGTCTGTGGGTCGAGCGGTTTCTATCCAGTTTCTTATCTACAATGAGCCCGAAAGGACATGGATTTTAATGGCTGGTTTTTATTAAACAGATGAGGAAGCACTTCCAAAGACCCTAAAACTCAGCAGCTGACTGCAGCCCTGGGATGCACACCTAGATTGTTCAGTGCCCAAACTCAACCTCGTCCCCGCATCTCCTGGATGAGGAATCAGTGAGCATGAGAGGGGCATGTGCTCGGGGATTCCACCTCAGCAGAGCCGAGCTGTCCCAGCACCCACTGGGTAGAAACTCCGATGAAGCCAAAATAGAGTCTGTCAGCAGGAGGACGGTGGCCACTTTCCCGGGGCACCCACCTTCATTTATCTTCCCAGGCCAGGCAGACTCCAGACCTCGGGGCATCACAGAGAAATCAAGTGAAGGCACAGCTAGAGCAACCCTCCCCCCCGTCAGAAGAAGATGAAGTCAACACCTCTTTTGTGGCATTGGTGTTGAAGCAGCCTGAAGGAAAGAGAAAGTGAGGCCAGCAGAGGTGGGGAGGAGGTTACCGACCCAACTCTTGCCTCCGAGAAATGCTTCATCATCCCCACTGCCAGCGCGGCTTCCCGCGGCCAGCTCGCTCCCCGAGGTGTGACAGCAGCAAACTGCTGACTCCGGCCTGCACTAAAATTAACAACGTGATGACGGGTGCTGCTGCAAGAGGCGGAAAGAAAGAGAAAACACACACAGACGCCAGAAGACAGAGCAGCATGGAGAGGGGACGACACGTACCGCACCTGGGGACGTGCTCTGTGCCTCCCCCACCCCCCCACCCCCGCCCACCACAACGAGCTGTGTTGGGGCTTTCCAGACCTCGCTTCTGTGTCGCTGCCTCGTGCCCTATTTACCAGGCTCTGCCTGCCCAGGACACCTTAAGTCTTCCGGTGACCAGAGCATCCCCTGTGAACCCCACACTTAGGAGATGTTGGTGGGCAAAGATGCTCTCTTGGAGTTGGGTAGGGAAGAGAGGCACCTTGCTTTTCTGAAATACGGCACAGGCAGGGTCAAGGAAATGACGTGTTTGGTCCTGCCCAGGAAGCGGAGGAGTGAGACACTCAGCTGAGAGAATAGGGGGAGAGCTGTATTTTCTCGTGGGGCAACTCTGTGTCGAATTCAGTACCACCAGGCGAAGTAGCCCCCTCGGCACTTGGCAGGCACAGGGGCCAGAGACCGAGGACCAGGGGAACCTGGGAGGTGCCCGTTCCCCAGCCCTGAGGGGTGTGTGCCGCAGAGCCCACAGTATTCCTGCAACATATGCTCACTGGAGAGATTAGGGGAAAAAACCAGCGTTAACCAGCATGTTATTGAGGGGTCATGCATAAAAGGAGCACCCGTGTCTCAAACCGCACACGTCTGCATCATTGCCACCTGGATAAATAGAACATGAGCAGCATGTCAGGAGCCCCCTCCTGCCCCTGTCACCCTCTGTCCCTTCCTGCTTTGCTCAGCGAGACCTCGTCCTGACGGCTCACAGCATAGATTAGTGCGACCTGCCTGTGGATTTCCTATAAACAGCGTCACATGCGCTCCCTGGCGCCTGTCTCCTCTCACTCACGCGTCGGTTTGCGAGATGTATTCTACGTCGTGTGCAGTGGTCGGTCATCCTTCTCGCTCTGTGGTGTCGGTGGGGTGTGCGTTTTTAAAACCCGTGCTGCTGCGGATGCGCATTCATGTAGGTCCCCGTGCTTGGCTGGTTCGCGTGGTGAGCGCTGCTGTGAACCCGCTAGGTAGGACGTGACTCCTGGCGAACATGTCTGGGAGTTTATCCCCAGCAGCGGACCTGCCCGGTCACGGGGTGTGCTCGTGTCCGGCTTCAGGGGCCAGTGCAGAACACTCTCCCCAAGCGGTTGTTTGTCTGTCTTCAGAATGCCTGTCCGTCCGCGTGTATAAGAATGCCAGTTCCACGTCAAAACCAGTTCTGGTGTGGTCTGTCTTTGTTATTTCGGCCAGTCCATGACAGAAGGAGCACATGACCCGACAGGAATCCCATACCACCGCAGTGGAAAGTGCTTCTCGAGCGAGGGTTCCCTTCGGTGACCGTGGACGCCGTGTGTGGCGTGCTGCATCCTGCGCTCTGGCAGGCGGAGCCCGTGGCGGGCCACCCCCTGGCCCGAACCTCAGGGCTCGCCGCCTGGCCTTGGTTGGGGATTGCCGCTTTGCTGCACTAATACCCAACAGAGCATGTCCCAGTGCTCCCCCAGGTGACAGAGCTGTGATGGACCCGACCCCGGCAAAACGAACTTGGATTCAGACCTGCCTGGTGGCCTCAGTAAATATGTAACAGACTGTGTCCCCCATTCTCTCTGCTGCCAGGAGCTGGGGCCAGCGTGGTAAGCCCCTACCCCCTGCCTGCTGCAGGCAGCCCCTGGCTGCTGCTGGGGCTCCAGGCCTGACTCTCTGCAGTGAGGCCATCCTGGCCTGGTGGCTCCTGCTGCTGGGGCTGCGGACGGCTACTCGAGCTCCCACTCTGTGTCCGGCAACGTGCCCAGGGCTTCGTGTTGATTACATTCCGTGACCTCACAGCCGTTTTGTGCAGTAGATTCGATTTGCCCCCATTCTACAGTTGAGGAAGCTAAACGTGTTTCCCCAGAGGAACCTGGCTAGTAAATTCGGTGCTTTGACCTCAAACTTGAATGTTTGAACCCGTACACTGTACTTTCTCTTAGAGCTGACGTTAAACATGTAAGCTTGCTTTTGAACTCGTCTTCTCTTGGGCCTCAGAGCTATGTCAGGTGGGTTTACTTGGGCTAAGGGGAGCCCACCCTGTGACCCCTGGGGTGGCTGCCGAGAGCAATGGGCTCCCAAAGATGTCCCTGTCCTGGTGGCCAGCCCCTGCGAACAGGTTATCTTACGTGTGTAAGGGGAATTTGCAGACACGGTTTAGGTTCGTGTCTCTCAGGTGGAGAGGTGGTTTTGGGTCATCTGGGTGGGCCCAAGGGGGTCACAGAGGTTCTCAGTGGTGGAAGAGGGAGGCAGAAGGTTCCTGAAGGAGACGTGAGGGTGGAGGCAGGTCAGAGAGATGCTGTGTTGCTGTATTAGAAGGTGGAGGAAGGGGGCCCAAGCTGAGGCACCCGAGAGCAGCCTCTGGAAGCTGGAAAAGGCAGGGGAACAGTTTCTCTCGGAGCCTCCAGAGGGAACAGGCCGGCCGGCACCTCGATTTTAGCTCAGTAAGAGCTGTGTCGGCTTCCTGACCTCCAGAACTGTAGGATCACACATTTGTGGTGTTTTATCCCACTGAGTATTTGAAAATTTGTTATCGCAGCAAATCGCTATTGATGACGGTTGGTATAATGGTCGAGCTCATAGGCTTTGGGGCTAGACCGCCCGATTTCCAATTCTGTTCTGTGATTTTCTAGCTGGGTGATCTCGGGCAACTTGCTGACCTTGTCTGGGTCTCCTGTTCCTCCTCTCTAAAACTGGGGTAAGGAGAGTTTCTAATACGTGGGGGTGTTGTGAAGCTTGAATGAAGACTCTGTGTGTGTGCAATGCCTGGTTATAAGGCTTAGGTTCCGAGGCCGGGGCAGGCATCTCTCACTGGTAAGGAGGTGGGTGGATGGGGGGCGGGGTGCAGACTCGGGAGGCAGACCGGCCTCAGATCCCAGCTCTGCTGCCACTGGTTCGGAGCCAGGAAGTGAGCTGTCTGTGCCCCGTTCCCTCACCTGGAAAATAGGCAGAAGTTCCAGGGCGGCTCGGAGTTTGTGTCCGATGGTGGCCAGGACGCTTAGCAGGGTGAGTCACAGGCACTCCGAGAAGGGCAGTTATTGTTATCAGCGGGTGGCTGGTGATGACTGGTAGGCCTCCAGCCTGTGCCTTGTGGGTCCACTTGTTCTTCATTTATCCCTGTAATAATTGCAGTGCCCTGGGTTGGGAAGCAAAAGTACCTTGACAGAGCTGAATAGTACCTAGTAGGTGCTCAATCATTGCTGGATGAATGAATGGATGAATGAAAAAGGGAACAGGCCCCAGGCCCGCCCTGAGCAACCTCTCAGTGCAGGACAAGGCTTGGAGCCGCGCCAGGGCCAGCGCTTTGCGGCAGTCTTTAAAAAGAAACAAAACAAAGAATGACTTCCTACCAGCTGACCCCAAACCCCCTCCGCTCACTGTCTGGACCTCTCAGCCTTGCAGAGCTCTGTGGCAGGTCTGGCTGAGCTCTTAAGTCCCTAAGCCAGTCATCTGCGCTTTCTGGAACTTTCCTCATTGTTATAATGGACGTACCTCAGCCCCCTCTGTCCTGCCAGGGTAGTTCTGAGGAGCCCCGTGCAGTTAGAAAGACCCCCTTCTGAGAAATCTGGTGCCCACGGAGGTGGCATTGCCCCGGAGGTCCTTGGTCTGTCGCCTTACCTCCATTTGGGGATCAGAGCTATAGGGTGTCATTTTTAGAGAGCTCCCCTCTAAGTATATTAGGGACAAATATAAAGAAAGGAGAATGACCAACTACTGCTCTGGGTTCATGATTATAATGAGATTTTTTTTCCCCATGCCCAGGCCTGATCTTATGACCAGAAAGGAATGAAAAGGACACCCTTCCGGACTGATGGCCATCCCTGTCCACTGCATGGAGCGTCCTTCAAGGATTTCCTGAGCCGTGTGGATTTACAATGATATTCAGCTGCCTGGGGAATCACGCCGGTGCAGGAACCTTCCCTGGAATTACGCACACCCGGCACGTTTCTGGATGCCGAAGGTGGTGGGAAGCAAGGTCCCCGCGGAGTGCTTTGTGGATTCCTGCAGCCCGGATGCTCGAGGGGGATGGAGGACCACAGCTTCCTGTGCAGGCTGAGCTCTTACCTCGGACAGGAATGTTTGGTCGGGTCTTTCCAGGCCCCCGTGGGGGCTCCCTAGGAAACGTAAGTCCTGCCTCGTGTCTCAGGTGCACGCAGCTCCTATGTGCCTGCCAGGCACGCGCTTGGGCTTTACAGGTGACTCTGGCCTGGCTGGGGTAGGTCACTTGATGTGGCTGGCCCTCAGAAGGAGCTGGCATTTAATGAGCTAACCCCGTGTGTCTGGCTTGGTGCTAGCCCTTGTGGGAGACAGATGGAAAAAGAGAGGTGCATCCTGGGAGCCACCAGTGTTTCCTTTGCTGACGTGTGTCATCGTATTCAGCAGCTTCATTGGTTTTCCTGGGTTTTGGGTCTGCCTCCATCTCGCAGACCGCAAGCACCTCGAAGGCCAAGGCCTGTTCTGCGTGGCTCTGTGTCTCTGAGACGGAGCCCAGTGCCTGGCGCGTACAGTGTCTGCTGCTGCAGAAAGGGTGAACTGAGAGAGGACCGTTAGCGAAGTGAGACACCAGAGAGTAAGGAGGGAAGGTGGCATTAGGGGGCAGTTCCTTGGCTCTGTGCTTAGAGTTAGACACGGGCAGATGGCAGCAGGGTGGCTCTGGAGCCTAAGGACCTGGGTTTCAGTCTCTCAGGTGTACCTCCTGGGTGACTCCGGGGAAATGACTTCGGGACTCCTCGCCCTTCTCTATCCCATGAGAGTGAAGTAATGTCATACTTCCCAGGAATGGTGTCGATCGCAGCATCGGGCCTGGCACTCAGCAGGCACTGGGCACATGGTGGGGGGCTCACTGTTGCTTGGGGGAAAGCTTTCTGGGAAAGTAGGTGTCACTTGGGCCTTTAGAGCCTTTCTGAGCAGAGCCGGGGGGCTGGGCTGGACTGTGCTGGACTTTGGACTGGGCACTGCCAGTTGGCATGGACAGTTGCTCAAAGGCCACAGTCCTTGGAGCCCGTGGGAAGGCTGAGTGGCAGCTGAGTAGCAGGTGAGGGAGGACAGCTGGACTTGAACTTGGCAATGAAGGCTTATGGCATGGCTCTGCTGTTGACAAGCAGGAGGACTGGCCCCCCATGTCCTGACTTGGCAGCTGCGAGGCTGGTGGCTCCCAGGGATGTTGTCTTGGTGTTGGGCTATCCACAGGAGAGTGGCAGTTCAAACAACCAGTGTCCAAGGGCTTTCAGGTCATCAGGGGCCACCTGGCACTGGGCTGCCAAGACTACACTTGGGGTGAGGCCTGGAGTTCAACTTTGATTGGATCCCCAGGCCCCCTCATGCTGGTGGCATTGCTCAGAAGGCCTTTCCCTGACCTCCTAACGGAAATGACGGTCCTCTGGTTATCCCACCATGTTCGACTTGTAGCTCCTGGGTGAGCTGTGAGAGTACACCCACCGATGCAAGGTGTCTGATTTCTTGTCTTTCCCCCACGCTCAAAAGTCATCTCGCTGAGGTCGGGAAACATGTTTATCTTGCTCACAGGCTAAATACATAGTAGGCATCTTATGCATTGCATCACAGTGAACCACTCTTTGTGGTTTCCTTTCAGTGGCTTCCCTGAGAAGGAAAGACAAAAGGGAAACACTTTCCTCTGGAGTGTCTGTAAAACCGGCCCGACAGTCCCACTCGGTGGATGATGGTGTGCCCATTTTCCAGTTGAGAACTTTGAGGCCTTGGGAGGCCATGTAACTTTCCCAAGGTTATTCATGCAAGAGAAGGCGGAGCAGGAAGCCAAGAAGGGGGTGTGTGTGTTTGTATGTGTGAGTGTGTGTTGAGTACTGCCAGCTGTGAGATGCTCTTGGGGCCCTTAGAACTGGGTGCCCTCTTTGTTGTCCTGGAGAGACAGACTTTGCATAAGACTTCGGTCCCCCACTGGGTGATGGGGGCAGGCACCATGCTAGGCCCGGGAATGCAGTGGGGTTGGCATCACAGTCCAGCCCTGGAGGCTCCTGGTCGTCCGGGAGCCCCTGCCCTTGGGTGAGTGGCAGTGTGCAGCCCAGAGTGGTGGTCGCTATGCTCATTGCTCTTTGGTCAAGCAGGTCAGGGAGAGGAGCTATGCAAGCAATGCTGTTGCGGGTGTGGGGAGTTGTGGAAGGCTGGTGCATTAGCTGGGCCTGCAGGGGTGGGCGGGCCTGTCCTGGGGTCGGGAGCAGCTCTGCTGGACAAGTGAGCGGGGGACACCGAGGCCCAGCACTGCCCCTTCCGCTTCTGCCCTTGCAGGGCTCCGGCACCTCTTCTTGCCATCTCCCCCCTCACTCCCACTGTGGCCGCTGCACCCTCGCTTATCGCATGGCCCACAGCCCTGGATTTTCTCCTGTTATCGGTTACTCCCTAGAACAACCCTGTTGTGGTGGTCCTGGTTATCTCCTGCTCCTCCCAGGAGGGCCAGGGTGGGCTTGGGCACCAGAAGGCACAGCGAGAAATGGGACTCCCACTCCCCCTCCTTTCTGCCGGCCCCGTGTCTGCACGGGCGCCCCCTCTGGACAGTGAGGGAGGAGTAATCACTGTTTGTTAAGCTGATCTCTGTGCAGGGCAGTCAGCAGACATTATTCCGTTCCAAGCCCAGAACAGACTGGTGGGGTAGGCCCTATTTCATGGGGTTCTTTTTTAGTGTTGAAGTAACTGGAGCACAGAGAGGCAAAGCAGGTCTCCCCGGGGCACACAGGCAGGATTTGAAAACAGCTCCTTCTGTTTCCACAGCCACTGGCCCAACCTGCCTGGAGCCTCGAGATGCAGCCCTTTCTCCTGCCTTGGCCCCCAGGGGCTGTGCGACCCCAGGCAGATTCCCTTTTTCCTCTGGACCTTTCTACCCTCATTGGTGGGGAAACTGCTTACTTTCTCTTCTCCCTTGAGACACTTCTTGTGGGAGCGCCGGGACACTTCCCCAGGGACACCGTTGTTGGAAGAGTGTGGCCTTCAGAGCACAGCCTCGTCATCACACAGTCTGAGCATTGGCTAAGTCGGAGTAGGGGGGCGAAGGTGGACCGATTGGAGCACACACCAGCCTCTCTGCCTTCTCCAGGGACAAGCCTGGCAGCTTTTCAGGTCTCTCTGGACCTGCTTCTCTGCACATAAATAGGGGGTTGGGGTGCAGGCACCTCGCCAGGTTGGAAGGTTAACCAGGCACATCTGGGCATCCATAAACACTGGCCAGGGAGTGACTGCGTGGCTATCACTGAGCACCCTCAATCTTCAGACTCAGCCTGGAGACTGAGTCATAGCCCTTGTCTCATGGGGACCCTGTGCAAACTCCAGGGGACCCGGGGACCCCCGTGGGAGCAAAACACATCGATGTTTTGAAGCTTTGCTGTTTCGTAGCCGGGTGACCTTACATGGGTTCCTAAACCTCTCGGAGCTGCGTGTGCTTTGTCTACAGAGTCAGGACCATAATGCCCCTGAATCTCCAGTCCTTCCCCTAGTGTGGCCAGCTACTATATGCTCCCTAAGTGTCGGTTCTCTCCAGGGGGGCCTTGTGGCTGCTGGTGGCTGCTGGCCTCCTCCCGCCCTCCCTCCGCGCAGGAGGCTGAGGCCCTGCTTTTCCATCTGGAGCCCCAGGGTGTGGGGATTGCAGCCCCCTCCTCCCGGGTGAGTGCCCAGTGTCAGAAGTCTTGAGAAAACACTGGCCCGCGGAATTCCAAAGTTAATGAAGGGAGCAGATTCCAGGAGGGTCTCTGCTTGACCTCCTACCCTTCTCCAACCCCCTTTTATCCCTCAGTGAGTTTGGAAGCCATTGAAGATTTATGGCAACTCTGCACACGGAACTCTCTTGGTAGTGGGGCAGGGTGGTGGCCGGAAGCCCGGGCCAGGGTGGGAGAGTCTGAGCCTCTGCCCTAAGGTGCCTGGTTAACCCGAGAAAGGCACAGGGGACAACCCAGGCGGACAAGGCAGGCCATCTTGGGAGAAGGGGAGAACATGGAAACCAGTGGGGGGATGACCCTCAGCTTTCCAAAGGAGGGGCCGAATAAAGGGCTGGGGGAGAGGTTTGAAAGAAGACCCAGTTGCCTTCAACCAACAAACAAAAACCAAATCTTTTTTTCATTTATTCTGACCTTAGGACCCAAGAGGCTCTTCCGTCAGGGCTGGGTAAAGATCCCGGGCTTTTGGGGCCTGCTATAGTTTCAAGTACACCCTCTGCCCCGGGCTCCTAGGCCGTTCCTGGCAAAGGCCTGTGCAAGTGTGTGTTTCTGTCTGTCCTGGGTGCTCTCTCACCTGTCTCCTCCCTGGGAAGTTGGTTATTTCCTGCGATAGGGGTGGGCAGGCTTTGTCTCCTTTCTTTGTGTTGTCCAAGTCCTTTTGCAGGTCAGTTGCTGGGGGCAGGGGGCTTTCCCTCCCCTCTATCTGTCACCATCAATGCCACCCATCCAGTGGGGTGGGCGTTGTGAGGAGAGGGGCTCCGCTCCCCAGCTCCCCCGATTACCAGGAACTGCCCTGACCTGACCCTCCCCCTGGAGGCTTATCTGGCTCTAACTAAAGAGCAGCTGCTGGTGGTGAGGTTTCTGAGTCACTCAGAAGCCCTGGACTGGGTTTAGCTGGAGGCGATGACATAAACAAATAAACATTAGCGGGACCAGCTCCCAGCTTTCAGCTCACCTGGGGCCGGGCAGACTCGGTTGCATATTCAAAGGATGCTCATGTTCTTCATGAAAAAGGGTTTTCCTGTTGAGGAAATGAGAGGTTGTTGGGGGAAAATCCAGGGGGTCCCGGCTGTGTGACCTTAAGTAGGATGCTTGGCTTCTCTGGGCCTTTATTTACTCTTCTTCGAACCCAGGTTATTGTGAAAATTAAATCGACTGAGGCAAGAAATCTGGCCGTCTTGAGTTCTGGCCTCTGAACTTGACACAGAGTAAACCCTGCATCTAAGTCAGACTTGCAAGTCATTGCGTTTGTGACTCTCCTGTTTTCCTGTTATTGAGTCAGCTCCGGCAATTCCTGGGACTTCTCTGAGGCCCCAGCTCGTATTTCAATGAGATGGCGGTCCTTGCCTGGTGTCTCCCGCTCACGTGCTTGTGGAGAGGACCAAATGAGTCACCTCTGGGAAAGTGCCCAAGGGCTGGACTGCGCTGGCTTCTAGGAGCCAGGC